TGGGTGAAGTATCTGGACTTCTACAGACTCTCAAGGGTTCAGTAAAAAAATATATGGAGGCTGGACAGATGGCTCAGCCATTCGGAGTACTTACAGCTTTTCCAGAGGACCTAGGTTTGGCTCCCAGCACTCATGTGGTAGCTAACACCCATCCTTAACTCCAGTTCCAGGAGATCCGATACCCTCTTCTGACCTCTGCAGTCACCAGGCACACACATGGTGTACTTATATGCATGCAGGGAAAACATTCATACACATAAAATAAAATCTAAAATATACATATTTATTTATTATAGGGGGACTGGAGAGATGGCTCCGTGATTAAGAGCACATACTGTTCTTTTAGAAGACCTGAGTTTGGCTCTACACCTGCATCAGGTGACTCACAAAGGCCTGTAACTCCAGCTGCAGGGGATCTGACATGTCTGGGCTCTGAATTCATATAACACACACAAGCACATAATTGAAAATAAAAATACATCTTTAAAAAAACTATATGAAGGGGCTGGACTCAGAAGTTAAGAGCATTGGCTGCTCTTGCGGAAGACCTGCGTTCAAATCCTAGAATCTACATGGCGCCTAACTCTAATTCCAGTGGATCTGACACCCTCTCTGACCTCTGCAGACACACTGCACATGAGTGCATGTACATACATGCAAGCATAACACTCATACACAAAATAAATTTTAAAAGTTAAAAAATTAAAAAAAATGTGTAAATACACAAGTTGTATAATCACCTTAATGATTTTATATATTATAACCATGTGTGTGATTTCATCACAGGGTGATGAAATGGGCTTGTCTAAACAGGATGATTTCTGATCTTTTTGTTTTTGTTTTTGTTTTGAGATAGGGTCTCTCTATGGAGCCCAGGCTGGCCTCAAACTCACAGTCCTCCAGCTTCTGCCTCCCTGGTCCTAGGATTTCAGATGTAAGTCACCACATCCTGCCTTATTTGAAATTTCTTAAGAAAGAAAACTAAGAAACTGAATTCCAGCCCTCAGAGCTGGGCAGCCTCCAATCAGCCCTGGGGCCAGGGGACAGCTCAGAATAGCTTAGCCCTCCCAATCGCTTCCTTCCTTTCTTCAGTCTGGCTTCTTTCTTCAGGAACAAGAGAACGGCGAATATGGTCAGTGTTTGAAAGACACTCACTTACCAGGGGAAAGAAAAGTACCAAGTGTAGGAACTGGCCTGGCTGTGTCCTGAGAACCGAGGTATTGGTGGCTTCTCTTCCAGAGTCCTGATTTTCCCACTGTCTAATTCTACGGCTCTTCATTAGAGGGGAAAATTCACTTAGTTGAAGAAATAAGCTTATTTTATTTTGCTCAGTAGGTCAGGTCAATAACAAAGGAAATAAAATGTTTTTTTTTTTCCTTGAATATGCCCTCCATAGCCACACACACACAAAAAAAAACATGAAGTGGCAAAGGGCCCCGACTTGACCCTGCTGCATCCCTTCTCCCTTTGACTTGCCTCCAGATTCTCCCAAGCACCCAGCTGTTTACTGAGCTAACAGAAAGCACTCCCAGGTCTACACAGTCCCTCTCGCCTCTGTACGCCATATCTCAAGCTATGCCATTGAAGCACAGGGCTTCTGGACCCCAGGACACATTCCTGTGTCTCTTGTCAGTGCCCGGGACACTTCCTCCACAGCTCCATATAGCCAGGGTGCATCTCTGGCTTTGCAGGCCAGGGGCTTCTGGGATTCCCAGGAATCCATCTAGTCATGGAGTTTAACAACCTGGTACCCACTAACAAGTCCCCTGAGTCTACCAGGGTTGGGTGGGAACTGGAGAGAGGCTGACAGCTTCCAAGGGAGTCCAGCAAAGAAGGAAATGCAGATGAAGCACTCAGATGGCCTCACATCCGCCTTATCTCTACTGATTTTGTCACCTTGTTAGACACTGGGCTGGGAAAATACTTCCTGGTTTGTGTTGACATTCAGTACATGAGGACCTCTCTTCCCAGTCATTGGGAACTTTTAAAAAAGGCCAGGCTTGAAAGGAGTCCTCTGCAGAGATGTTACAGATCAACATTTTTCAAACATGGACCGAAGTTGCTATAAGGAGGACAACCTAGAAAACAGGTGGCCGTATTGGCCTTTGGTGGGTCTCTTGCCTACCCTAGCAATGTGATACCCCTCTCTGCTCTGGGAGAATCAAGTATTAAAAGAAATCAGACTTCTTTTTAAAGATTAGCTTCACCTATTTTCTACTTGGGTCTCTCCTAGGAAGATATATTTTTCTTTCCTTAGGATGCTGTTTTGCCTGGGGAAGAAGCACAGTAACTGAACCTCCCCCCATCCCCAAGGACAAAGTGCAGTACTTGCCTCAAGTAGGAGGCAGCAGGTGCTTTATCAAATGTTGGTCTTCCTATCCATGCATGCTTGGATGGACACTGAAACCCTCATACAGGTGCATCCTAGAGACTAGCAAAGAAATCAGCACAGCCCAAGTCTGTGTACCTGGAGGGCATCTGGCATGGGTCACTAGGGGAGTCCAGGAACTTAACTGGTTCGGTTCGGTGTGGCTGAGGCCCAGAACTTAACTTACATGTATGTGTCTGAGTATGTAGGAGGAGATCCCAGAAGAACTTGATCTCACAGCAGCATCTGGGCAGGTTCCCAGCCCTTGGGTATTTATGTACCATGACTATAGTTTATGCTTTGTCTGGTTTTTGTTTTCTGAGACAGGGTCTTACTATGTAGCCCTGGTTAGCCTGGAACTTGCTATGTAGAGCAGGCTGGCTGAGAACTCATAGAGCTCCACCTGCCTTTTGATCACTGGGATTAAAGGTGTCCACCACCCTGAACATACTCAGCAGTTTATGCTTAAAGAAGAAAGACTAGGACCACAGCTGCAGAATGAGTTGGAGGGTGATTGGATGTCATGTTTCCCACCCCCTCCCTTTCCTCTTAATCAAAGCCTAGGATCATGAGCCTCAAAGGAGCTGATGTTACTACAAACCAATAAGGCTCCAGTTGCCTTCCCATCATGAAATGACTACATAATTTCCCGTCTGGCCATCAATATCTTAAGGAAAGAGTTAAGCCATGACCACATCCTGCTAATTCAGTAATCCACTGTAAAATTCAGCCTCTTCAAGCTGCCCTGGGCTCACATGTATTTGACAAGCACCATGGAGGAGGAACTGCCATGAACTGGCTTCACTTCTGGAATTACCGGTGTCTCTCTGCAAGTCTGCCATAGGCAGTATGTGATCCAGCTTCTAACTCCCTGTAGCTCACTCAGTGCCCTCATCCCACAGACACTGCCCATCTGGGAAATTTCTCCATGTGCCTCTCCAAGTTTCATCAAAATGCTTGAATGACTCTAAAAATCCCCCAAAGAATCATTTCTGAGATTCTGCTGATTTCATGAAGGTCACCCTCGGCCACCCTGGAGATACATATTTCTTAAACTGGAAACTGAAAAAATCAAGTTTGAATACATGAGCGACTGGGAGTCACCTCTCTGAAATGACCTGGAAGGACCACCAGAGTGTCCTGGGATTCTTGATTCATTGTGGTGGAGTTTCAATCTGCTCTTTTTCCGGTTCAATAGAAAAACTCATCGCTTAGTGAGCAACAAGTTTCTCTCTCTCTCTCTCTCTCTCTCTCTCTCTCTCTCTCTCTCTTTGACAGGTCTCATGTAGTCCAGGCTGGCCTCAAATTCACTAAGTAGTTGAAGATGACCTTGAACTCCTCATCATCCTACGTCCTTACCTCTGGCATGTTGGGATTAAAGGCCTGCTCCATCACACCTAGCAGAGGTTTTTTCCTTTTCTATTTTACCATGAAAAGACCCCACAATACTCCATCTACGACATTTCAGAGATTAACTGTCAGGCTAGATATACAAACCCCTTTCTTTCCATGTAGCTTAAGTGGTAGTAGAATGTCTGCTCAAGACACACAAAACCCCGGGCTCAAGCCTCAAAACTGCTGGAAATAAATATGTAAAATTGCCGGAGTTGCACAAGAACCTGCCTCTGCTTGGCTGAAGCATCACTTCCATTCCAGGACTGGGATGGGAGGGGGGCCCTGCAGCCTTCAGGCATCAGCAGAGCCACACAGAAGCGATCTCACAGAGCAGAGCCTCCACTTCTACCACCAGTCACTAACACTGATCCATCTCTACAATTCAAACACAAACCCCAATGTTACCTTCTTAGACATTTTTCCTATGTAACTGAAGGAAAAACACATTAAATATTTGATCTCCTCTTACTAGGATGAGAGCTAGCAGGGTCATAAACAATCCATTGACCTGGTTCATTTTCTGGACAAAATTGATCATAAAAAAACATGTACATAGGCGTTTGTGCTGTCTGACTCTTAGAAATTCTACACCGCCCCCCGCCAGTTCTTTAGAACTCCGAACGGAAAAAGGAACAATTAAATATGCAAAACCCCATGCAAAAAGAAATCTGCTCCTGAGCGGCCAACCAGCTCCGAAGAGCTTTCTCAAAACAAATTTGAATGTACATTTCATTTCACAAGCAACTGCTGGTTATACATTTCGGTCGTGTGGAACAGCCTACTGGAGTTTCCCCTAAATTCTGAATGGCTAGTGAGGTATCTGAGCCGGCATGCGCTCTGCCCGCGAGGCCACCGAAGCGCACCGAGCCTCTCCTAAGTCAAAGATCTCTCCGGCTACTCCCGGCATCTGTGGCCACCCGAGCGCCTCTGCGTAAAGCCACCAGCACGCGATCAGCAGAGACCGAGCACAAACAATGGGCTTTTGAAACGAAGCAACTTTTGCCGGCGCGTAAGGCAACACTTTGCAGAGCCGGGCCTCACCGGGTGTCCGTCGGTCCCCGCAAAGCCCGGGCAGGACACGGACAAAGGTGCGGCGGAACCCGGGCGCCCCAGCGCCCTTTACGGCCCCAGGCTCTTCTCCGCGGCCCGGGATGAGAGCCCTAGCCGGGCAGCTCTGCAGGCGGCGCCTCGCCGCGCCGCTGGGAAGAAGCCCGGAGGAAGCCGGAAGTCCACCCACCTGCACGGCTGATCCGGCTGCGGGCCACCCTCGCGCCCTCGAGGCCCGCGGCCGCTGCGTGCGGAGCCCGCGCCCACCGCGCTATTTGTACTCTCCGGCCCTCACATGGTCTGATCTCTAGATAGCGGCCGCCAAAGAGCTCTGCAAGAATGTTTGCGTCACTTTGAGGCGAGTAAACTTTATGTTTCACCGTGGCTCAGCGCTCCTACTGGAGGGGGGAGGAGCCCGGCCGTGGGAGGGGACACACCTCTCCCCACACGCTCAAACACACACACACACAGAGTCGACACACACAGTCATCCACACATGCATGCAGTCATACATTCTCCTCTCTCCTCTCCTTTTCCCCTCTCTCTCATCCACATACATTTACTGGTCCACAAACTCACAGGAGCATATTCTCTCCCCCTCCCCCTCTC